GGGGGGGGGGGGGGTTGGTCTTTTGCTTAGGTAGTAAAGAAACACACTCCCGATAGTATATATAGGGGTGTTTCTTGGAGCTTGCCCTTAACCCAAAGACAGAAAGAGCAACCAAGGAAAATTATAGCTATATAGATTGGAAAGGCAAATGTGGGCAAATACAATGTCACTAACTAGAATCAATCAAAACCATTGACAATTAGTGGAACACAAACTATAAAAATTTTAGGAAAATATATTGCCCTATGTCTACATCTACAAGCCATGTCTAAGACAACTTTTTAGCAAGTCCCGTTAACCCAATGAACTGTATCAGCATGTGCTGATGCTAACGTTGATCTATATATCCTTAGTAGGCCCATGGGCTAGCCCTTCTAAAAGTGAAAGTGTCACTCTTCTTGACAGTGCAACGTATATGCATGCACAAGACCATATATATAGCTCAGCTCTTCATAATTTAGCAAAGCATGGCTTATGATGAGAGTGACACTGAGGTTGACATGGGAGGGACCCACTTTTACTTGTACATGTAGTATAGAAGACACAAATCAGCTTGCGAGGAACATACAGGAGTCTGGACCTCTAGGCGTGGATGATTGAGGACCACAGCAAACAAAATGTTACAGTACTATTTTGTTAAGAATTCTTTAAACTAAAGTATTCCATGTTATTGAAAGCTGGCCATGTAAATATATTAATCAAATGCTTTCTTTGACAAAATGTTAGGAAAACAAGCAACATTACTAATTTAATATCACCCACCCATTTGCAGTTATGAACAAAATTGGCTATGAAGAAGTTGAGAAGCTGCATGCATTTTCCATCAAAACGCCATTAACACGGAAAGAATCCACCGAGTTGAGCCCACGCAAAAAAAAAAGTTGAAAGGGAATGGTAAAAGATAGGAGAGATGCCTTTCCATTTTTATTGTCATTGTAAATGTTTTGATTTCCGAAAACAAATGACCGGGAAAGAAGTTGAGATTTGGTGATTTCAAGAGCCTCTAAAGCTAGAAAGTTACACATACAGAAGGTAATTAATTATAAGAGGCGTCAGTGATATATAGTCTCTCATTTCTGTATGTTCACATTTGGTTACATTTTTCAAAAGAATCAAAATATACTATC